TTTGGCCAAATTTGATGAAAAAAGTAAGGCTAACCCCTTGCAATTTTTTCAATTTTGGCCAAAAAATGAAATTGCGCCAAACTTACAGGAAAGATGCCTAAGGGACCCCAGAAGACATTCCAACTCGATTGCTGGACAGATGTGCCCTTAGACAGGAACAATGCGTCGAGAATTTGGGTCAAAATCAGTGAAAAATATGATTTATTTTTCTCAATAAATCGATTATTTGTGCCCAAATCTTAGAAATAATAGCAGTATGAATATTGTTTGATACTCTTCTTGCATCAATGGTCATTTCTGCATCGTCCGGAGAAAAGTCATTTTTTGGCCAAATTTGATGAAAAAAGTAAGGCTAACCCCTCGCAATTTTTTCAAATTTGGCCAAAAAATGAAATTGCACCAAACTTCCAAGAAAGATGTCTAAGGGATCCTAGAAGACATTCCAACTCGATTTCTTGACAGATGTGCCCTTAGACAGGAACAATGCGTCGAGAATTTGGGTCAAAATCTGTGAAAATATGATTTTTTTTTTCTCAATAAATCGATTATTTGTGCCCACATCTTAGAAATAATGGCAGTATGAATATTGTATGATACTCGCCTTGCATCAAAAGTCATTTCTGCATCGTCTGGAGAAAAGTCATTTTTTGGCCAAATTTAATGAAAAAAATAAGGCTAACCCCTTGCATTTTTTTCAATTTTGGCCAAAAGGAAAAGGAAGGTGTGACGAACTTCCAGGAAAGATGCCTTAGGGACCTAAGAAGACATTCCAACTGGATTTCTGGACAGATGTGCTTTTAAAAATGCAGGGACAATGTGTCACAAATTTGGGTCAAAATCAGTGGAAAATATGTTGTTTTTTTGTTTAGGAAAGATGCCTGAGGAACATTAGAAGATATTCAAACTCGATTTCTGGACAGATGTGCCCTTAGACATTAACAATGCGTCGATGCGATGTTCTGGATCCTTGCCACCTTTGGAAGTCTACAATACTCAGCCTGCCAAAATACCGTAAAAAGTGACCAGCGCCCTCTATTCGTTAAAACTAACAATCGGTATCTGTTCAGACATGCATAAGAGTTCTACACACAAATAGACCTCATACATGTTACATACAGTACCAAGACTGTCAATTAAAGGACCATTGCATCCAATGTTTGACCTAAATTCCATTTCCGGACCACTGAACGTGCAGAAAAAGTGCCCACAGAAAATTTACAAAAATCACAAGTAGTTGAACTCCAAGAATACGATAATCGAACACTCATCCATCACAAATTTTGTTTTCTTTGTTTAGGTTACTAGTGCGTTTCCTTCAATTAAAGGGGACCATTGGGTAGGCATTCCAGAATTGACCATTTTAACTCTGAATACTTACATGACACCACAATATTATACCGATTTATGATTGATTGGTGATGTTTTGGGTCAATTGTGCCGATTCCAAAGATTGTGTGTTGCCAGCTAGAATAGGCTGCAAATGAATGTTTAGCTTTAGGCCTGTCCAAGTTTCGCACAAGTGTGTTGATGATTTGGAATTTGCACTTGTATAATAATTTGATCTCTGAATGATGGCTTTAGATGAAACTGTAATAAAAAGTTCACCTTGGCATAACCCCCCACCCCCCCCCAAAAAAAAATGACTTGGTTTTTTCAGTTTGCTATCAAAAAAGTATTACTACCAATTACAGTTGTAGTTTGCCATATTATTATTATTATTATTAATCATTTCTGGTAATGAAACCAAGGATTCCTCAAAAGCGCCCTAGGCACTGAAGCCCGCAAGCCTGAAGAAACTTGTGGAGAGAAGACAATGAGAAGAAGTTACAGTTTTAGAGGTGGGAGGAAAAGCCCAGAAGAATATTCTGGGGAAAACCCATGGAATCAGGCAGGGACTGAAAACCCAATCCACATATTGGTCACAGCGGTGGAAGGCGAGGAAAGTACCGCTGCACCAACCTGACTCCCCTGCATGTACAGTATAAGAAATAATGGACTCCCAAACACTTTGCATTACTTTTTATTACAAATGTACATTTTATTCAGTAATGTAGCAGGTTTTGTGCACACACATTAGATAGTACTCGGAAGCCACTAATAAACAGACAAAAACACCAACAAACAGACAAACAAAAACAGGCACATGTTGATTTGAATAAAGTATTTGCTACAGCCATCTTGGTCTGGTACCCACAGACCAATTGATAATTACAACCCTTGGATTACGTGCGATACTTAATGGCAAAACTGGCCGTTACAGGTATATGTTACTTTCCACAGAGTCACCATAATGATGTAAGAAATTACTGTTAACTACTTCATAATGATCTTCACGCAAACAAATAGGCTAAAAAGTACAAGAACTTCCCAGAGTTGTGTTTATGACAAGGTATTTGCACACAAGTGTGATTTTTCAAAATGAAAGACGTCTAATGTTTTACAATGTAACATTCTTTTGAAGTAAAGTGTAGTGAAAAACCACATGTGACAACATAGGCCGATTTCTAGTGACACAATCTCTACAGTATAGCAATTATCAATTGATAATCTTATCAAGGGGTAATTACTCTAAAACCAGTAGTTCAAAACCAGTACTTCTGATACAAAGCAAACATTCAGTTAAACAAAAAATATGCTGTGCAGCTCTTCACTAATATACATAAAATAAATGGTAAGACACTGTTCATGGAATTAAAATCATAAATTGGAACAAAAAGTAGCTGGATATTACATGTATATTACAAGATAAAAGACGCAGAAAGAAATCATTCTTTCTTTCTTCACACATAGGCACCCTTTCTCTAAGAACCCAGCATAGAATTATTAAATTCAATACTACATAAATAAGTAGCCACCTCTTGTCGCACTTGCTCCTGGCCTACAGGAACAAGTGATCGTGGTAAAATGCCTTGCTCAGGGTCACAATACATGTACATGTAATAGAATCTGCATGTGCACCTATGCCATAACACTGAGCTGTTACACTATTCATTCATTTCTTATATTTTATTCATTTATTTCAATTTTTGTTCGCTTTGTAAACAAAGAGCATTTGTAAATATAAATTGCAAGTATGCAAAACTCTGCACACCAGCCAACACTACGTATTTTAAAAATGGAGCTGCTTTTTTGTGTGCTCTGCACTGCTTTCTCAACATGACACATATTAAGGCATATCAAAACATATATACCAGTCTGAACGTCCAATCATACAACAGATAACTTATTAAGCAGTGCCAGAAAAAATAATATTAAAAAAAGTCTGTACACCTAAGGAGGGAGTAGGGAGGTATGTATGTTAATGCATTGTTAATACAAAAATAGCAAGAATGTTATATAATAGGTTATAGTTACAATGCAGTAAAACTTTTTTTTTTTACAAGAACATTATTTACACTAGGACCAAACTGAAGTTGTTCTGCAACTGTCTGTCCTGTTCACTGTCTACCCTTCATGTTTGATGGAATGGTCCTTTCTTAGTTTGTCCAATCAGGCCTGTTGTTATTTATAACAGTACTATTAGTTTAGGAACGTGATTATAAGAGCACATTTCATTGGATGACGCTTGTAGCTATATGTGTGGGTTTGAAAATTACAAAAATACTCCGTGCGCAGTTGCTGACAATATTAGTACTGCCAAACAGTTTGGTATGTTAAACAAACATGCAACATTATTTCTCTTTCAAATACTATTCGTCGCTTCAGTGTGCGACATCAAGTAGCTACAATCGGCTGATTGAGAATCCTGTCCCGAATGAAGATTTCCGGATTGTGTCACAACAGGGCGCAATTCAAAATATGACATGGCAACTTTTGAACTGAAATCACAATCCAGAATATGGTGTTTTCTCGAAATACACCGCATTCACAGAGCTGAAACTTCATCAGGTTACTTGTTAAAGGTCCCTCTTTAGATTTTGAACACTTTCCTTGCTTCAAACGTGAAACAAAAATGAACAGATGACAAATGGTCCATTTTCTACCAGAAAAAGGCACCCTTAACGGGCCGTGCAGAGAATGGATCAAATCCAAAATTCCACTTTAATTACAGGGTATCTTAGCATACATGTTAATTTTGTTTTTACCCACTAAAAGTAAATACAGATTCTACATCAAGATACACTGATTTCCAAATTACCACTCTGCCTTGCAGATGATCAATATACAAGAAAAAGACATATAACAAAAATAGATACTTTATTATTATTATTAATAATATAATCATGATCATAACAGTTCTGTTCTGCCATAAAAAATATCTTGTACTTTTTTTTTTATCTTTTAAAGCAAACAGTATACTTATAGTATAAAGACAAAAATATATACATGCATAGAAAGTTTGCAATTAGAAATCTACATGCCAATAATTGTACACAACGTCGCGTTTGACATAATTATGCTGTTATCTAAGAGATTAAGTAGCCAGTCAAAATCTGCATTTAAACAGCTGATGGGAAAGGGTTTTTTTTGGGGGGGGGGGGGTGTTTGGAAGAGATGGCAACTGATTATTCAACTACATGTATACAGGTTTACAAAACATTAAGATTTATCAAATTATTTGGGGTCCGTACCCACGTACATCAGTTGGGCTTATCCTCCTTTTTTTACAAAACATTCCCTGCATCTGCCCCAACTTTGTTTTTCGAGAAAACAATCATTCATGCAGAAGAAAGGGGAAAGCAAACGGACACCTACTGTAATTGCAAAGGGGCTGGTCTAAGTAGGCAGAAAAAGAGGGGGCTAACACAAGAGTTGTTCCGGACATTACAGCTTCTAAAAAGCGTACACCCAACGGATCAACCTTATGAATGAACCAGTCATCAGATGGAATTTTCATTAGGATGATGTAAATTCAATATTTGGTTTTGCCCTTTACCGACATATTTTGTATGCACACTGTATACTCGGTGTTGTCCCCAGTGATTGTGAGAAAAACAGTCACAAACTACTCCGGTGGGACTCGAACCCACGACCACTCGACCACCGAGCTTGCCAGGGTCGGCTGGCTGATTTAGCAGCAGGTACCGCAACCAAACTATTCATAAGATGGAATTTGCGTCGGGATGATGTAAATTTAATATTGGGTTTTAATGAAATCCCAGAACCTTCCAAAACTGACACACTTGATAGTTGTACTGATCAACCCAAAATCTTCCTATCCTCTGAACAAATATAAACTCTTGGCATTAAAAATAGAAAAAATGAAAGATCGTTCTTTAAATTAAAAAATTAAGTGGGGCGCTATTAATACCTGTGCCACATACAGGATAAGAGCAGACACAGTGATACAAGGAGGGCGGAGATCCTGGGGGCACCTTCGACACCATTGCCCTTCTGTTTGCCCCCTTTGTCTTTCTCCGCTGGGGTGGTGCTCTCGGGAACTTGTTCCTCCTCTCCGAGCGGTCTCGCTGTGGTGGCTCTGATGATCGGTTTCTTGGTGGTGAGCCTCCCCCGCGTGGGCCTGAAGGGCCACTGGCTAGATGAGGGGGTATCGGTGGGTGGGCTGGCGTTGTCAATGCCTCCCCGAGTGTCAACGCCTTCCCTTGGGGTGCTGGCATCGAAGTGGAAATCCGTTTCCTCACTGGTGGTTTCTATTGGGACAATAGCAAAATATTGAAAAACTATGAGGATATCCTGAATTGGCGAGCAAGGATACGGAAAGGCTTTTCCTTTTATTTCGCTGTCGGTGAGTCACTGACGGATGCGTTTCTCCAGACAGGATGGTGGCTGTTCACGGTACCGATGTCGGTGTACTGACCAAATGTTGTGGCAATCAGCCCAGGCCTGTGCACTCAATGTACACTTTTATCGATTACTGCGCTGCCACTCCAATTTGACATAACCATTAAGATGCAACGATCGTCTCTTTAATCTGCTCATTTCAAAGTTCAACAGTCTCATTGCATCTTAAGTAGCTGTGCTAGGCTTTGCATCCCAGATAAGCTCTTGAAACAAATCTAGGGAAAGGGAGGGCGGGGCGGGGGTAGGGGGGGGGGGGGCTTAAAAGCATGTACCCTTTTTCAAAATCACAAAAGTGCAAAAATGTTACCCACATATATTATCCAACTATTTGATCCTATACATGTTAATAATACCTACATGTACACATTATACCTCTACATCCAATCCAAATAGTTTGAATGATATGAATTAACCAGAAGGACAAATTGTCTAGAACAATTGGATTAACTATAACGTCAGTTGTAATGTTATTATGGAAAGAACATTTTCACACATACACCGGAACTGACTCCGGATTGTGTTGCTAAAAGGAAATGATACAATTCTTGTTCCTGTATTTTGCCTTTCTTTATCTCAAATTAAACGGAGTTCCTTCCTGCGTGGCCCATCATTAGCCATAACAATAACACTGTCTGGGATCTTATCTGTGACTTTTTATAGGTATTCAAAAAAAAAACAATAATAAAATACAAAAACAATATCCAATCCATTCAAAACATTGTTCAATAATCAATTCAAAGAATAAAGCTAGAACAAACTTATTGTTTTGTTTAGTTCAGGGGGTATGGAAGGGGTAGTGGATTTGGATGTAAACTGTCTTTATGAATGTTTAGCTCCAAATGGCAGAATGGATTGAAGTCAGACGGTTGTTTTATGATGACAAAGTGCTGCAGAACATGTACATTTTCTCTAGCAGCACGCTCAAGTCGTTTTGTAGCTAATGTGTTGGAGTCAAACTGAGTAACCCTTTAGTCAATGTCGCCCCCAAAACCATCTCGCCTATTACTCACTTTATTGCTCAAAAATGCCTAGTCCATCAGTGAATAAACACAATGTAATACAATGTAGCCTCAGGTGCTGTTATTCAGACCATGCAAGATCCAGTAACCATGTTTTGCTCTCTTTGGACAAGTGACCAGCCAAAATCTCGGTTTTGAGCCAGACAGACTTTACTTTTGTGGTTTGAAAAAAAAAACCTTATTGTCTGCTTGTGGTTGTCTTTACTGTTTGGATGACCTTAATATAGAACGAAACAATGCCTGAATTATACGCATCCGGCAGGAAAGGACAGTTCAAAATGTCAAACCAAATTTTTCAATGATTTCCTGAAGAAAAAAAAAGATGAAAAAATATTCCAAAAAAAATATTAATAAATGAATCCATTGAAGAAAACAGAAAGTCTCTCCCCCGAAAACCACAGAAAAATTTGAATACTACTTTGAATAATACCTGATGAACCTGTTGAGTGGTCCTACATGTACATGCAGTTCTTGCATTGGGTCCACACACACACCATGGTTTTCATTTGAGGAACCCATCCCAAAACACATACAACAAAAGTTGCCCATGACTATTGAACAATGAGGTGTGTGAATTGCAGTGTTGTGTGTAGCACTTGTACTTTATCCCAACACTGGCAATTGGACCACTCACCCGCAGTTGTCGTTGTGAAGACCATGTCTGTTTGATTGCTGCGGGTCTCAGCTGTCGTCGTGGCACCCGAGCCGCTGATGCAGTCCTCGTCGTCGCCATAGCAACCGCTGCCGCTTCCGCTCCCGCTGAAGTTGTTTTCGTCCGGATGTCTGTTCTTGCCCTGGAGTTTCATGCGAATGGCCTACGGGGGGATTTTTAGCAGCAAGGGAATAAAAAATCAATTTACCACTCATCTACAACCTGTCATGTGATTTGGCAGTTATAAATCCCCCCCCCCTATATCTACAAAGGTGCCTATGGCAGTGTAGTCTACAGAAATCACAGGCCAATGTAAAGTACATGTACATGTGGGACTTTTTTTTCCCACAAATGTGAGTCTTTCTGGCAAAATGAGACGGAACTGGGGACATGCTTAAGTGGAGAAAAATGAAAAAAACATATGCGGGTGATTTTTTGCTTTGCGATTTTCAGATTTAATGGTAATGTTTTTGTCTACTGCACATATTTTAAACAAATAGTATAAAAATTGTTGTTTAATAAAAGTTGTTTAAGGAAAAACAATTGGCGTCTTTCATTTTCACAAATTACTCTTTACTTTAATTTAAAGGTTTTTTCTCAGTATTTTACTTTTTTGACTTGTCAATTAATGTGACATTTAAACAGCCATAACTCGTCAATGGAATGTCCGACTGAAGTGCAACCAACAGTATTGTAAGGAGAATTTTATTCTCTTTCCTATTGCCCCCAAGCACTCATTTCGACCTCTGTCCAGTTCTGTCTATTTTGCTAGAACGCCTCACAAATTTTACAAAGGAAAACCAACACATACTTTTCTGCTTAAGAAGTAAATTTTTGGGATTAAGTTCGTCTCCAGTAATCATTGGAGAGATGTCAAAGAAATCCATCAATGCTCCAAAGGAAAATCAAGACACGTTGAAAGCTTTTGAATTTTGAATCTTGGTCATGGTTGCCTATTAATTCAACAAATTTAGGTTTATAAAAGAGCCTTGCCTACTGGGTGTTTTTTCACGAAAGAAGAAACAACATCAAAATTACAAACAGAATTTTTCCCTTATTAATAAGCATACTAGATGTAGCCTTGTACTCAAGCCTGGACATAAAAATTTCTATAAGAACAGAACATAATGGCTTTTCCGTATTATGATTTTTTTTCCTCATGAGTTTATGCTTCTGTTGATGTGCAGTCATATAAATGATCAATGTAACGTAGCAACAATAAGTTCAACACATCCCTGTCTACAAAGTTGCAATGCAAACTGACTCATCATCTTGGGAGGGATATACTCACATGTGTAATGACTTCCAGTTTGTCCATGAGAGCGAATGCTTGCAGTAATTCAAACTCCCTCCCTGTCCAGGACACCTCTGGGTTGTGCACCTGGGCGCCCAGACCATTCTGGACGGGTGACATGGAGTACCTGTGGATCACAAAAGAAGAGATGAGGGAATAAATTGAGGATTATATAATAAGCGCAATGTTTAAGAGGAGTTTTTCTAAACCCTTGCTTTTAAGGTCTTTCACACAATAACCCGAATCTCTGTGTTGGACCCGGTTCTAACACTGAGATTTCTAGAACCCATTTTACACTAGAACAAATCCAACATGGCATCTACACAGGTCTGGCACTCTACACTGGTAGGACCAGGGTTGGGAGGCTCTCTACCTGGGTAGAAAAATAGAGCAAAGTATCTTTTTTACTCCTGAGGTAATAAGTCACAAGCAATTTATCCAGTATTACATGTACATGTGCGTACTTTTCAAACAATCTCAAGCTCAGCAATGCAGAGTTTCTACAGCACATCACCGCAGAGCTGCATGCCAAACCCAGCTCCCTGACATCTCAAAACTTTTCCTAATCCCTCTGCTTTACAAAAGCGTGAAATATTGCCACAAGCTGTGAGCAGTTTGTCAGTCCAACATATAAGGGGGGGGGGGCACTACTGGGCCATCATGCACCTGACATTGTTCCTCTTTTCAGTGGAATCATGAGGTGCAAGGGCATGCACTGAGTAACTCCCTGGGGGGAACCTTAAACTGCCAGCCTTCTCGCCACCTGCAGTCCTTTCATTGTATCGCGATTACCGCTGTCTATTATTGCGTACTTTTTCTCTGGGGCGGATTGTAGGGGGAAAAAATTGAATTGTTGTTTGATTTACATGTATGCGATCATATCAATCCCAAGCTGGGACCGAAAATGTTGGGGAACTGGATTTCCAAATATTTATAAACACCAGACAACATTTCTATGCTGTGGAAATGAAAGGGGGAATAAAAGCTGCAAGTGCAATTTTGAGTCATATGTCACAATGTTTGTAAATTGTTTTCATTCAATCGCACAATTAGTATTTGATGTGTGTGTAATGTACCATACATGTACAAGTAGCCCAGTACCAGTAGAAAGGTTTATTTCCGAAAAACATGAAATGATGATTGTCAAAAGTTGTTTGTTTTTATGAATATCTGCGATGTTACAATGAGAATGTTGGAATTGAAGTACATTGTATTATTATCAAACTGATTTTCCCGCCACCTACAAATAATAATAATTCAAAGAAATGACCACATTCACATTGATCATGAAACTGTTAATAAACATGAAGGGATATAAAAAAAAAACCCAGATAATTTAATTGTGGCAAATGAAGACACCTTTTTCTTTTTGTTACGAGTGTTGTACAAACATGAAAGGCCAGTTAAAAAAAATTAAACAGGCAGTCGCTCCCCCCCCCCCCCCCCATCACCAAGATGACAGATTTTCCAAGATGGTGGATGGGTTCTTCCATTTTCCTGACTCTATTGCTGATGCAAATTCTGTGCAAAAGAGCTGTTACCCTTTCTACATAGCTACAATGTTGTTGGAAACAAATCAAAAGACAATATGTCGACAATATGCACAAATGTAACGCAAATGTATGAATTTTAAAAAAAGACGGGCGGGAAAACAGGAAGCAGGCGGGGACGAGAAACAGGTTTATTTTTTTACTTGGCCTAATGCAAGCCTGGCACATTTACTTGCATTGTCCTTTGTATTTGTGGAAGAAAATGAGTATTAAGACATGTGAGCTTTGATTTGGGCTATGAGATTTCAAGGTATCCTGTACGAGACACAGTTGTGACAAGCACTAAACAAATGCCATCACAGTCCAGAGAGTCTCAGAGATTGGCAACAAGAACACCTCAGAATGCACATCCCCTTTCCCCTCCAGGAATTGCCTCCTCTGGCCCGCCCCCAAAGTAACACAATATCCTCATAATCCATGAATCATCAGCTCGGGACCCAAAACAGCCCCACTTGCAAAAATGTTTTGGACAACCTAAGACCTCCAAAAACAATACCTTTCCAATCAAGGGCACACATGGTCCCCGGCTGTGGCTTTCCGCCCCTCTTTGTGAGCCGCCAAAGCTGTTAATGTTTTTGTTTGGGTTTCTTTCTCTTTTTCCTTTTTTTTCTTCTCTCCTAGTCATGGTGGTGGAATGTCCGACTGCCAGACACAGCTTTCTCTTGACATTCCTCCCTTGTCACTAACTCATTACCGTGGCGATGAGAGATTGGCCACTAGGGGTTGATCCTACTGTTGAACCCTGGGCCGGCTGCCATAGTAAAACAAAAAATGTATAACTTAACCATGTGTTGGAGCTTGGGGGGGGGGGGGAGGGGATTGACCCATCTCCACTGAACTACTGGTAGGCAGAGTTGTGAAAGTTTTTTTCATTGATTCAGGATTTGGAAGATGATGACGGTACAGGGTACATTTGTCATTATTTTAAAAAAAATACACCAAAGGTCCTTTATTTAATCTTCTAAAACCTGAAATTTGATCATATTTACCTTACTTATTCGCTTGCTTTACAAGAATGCAAGCCGAATGCATTTTACTACCGGAGTATAAATTAATATGCATCTGTAATTCCTCAATTAAGGAATTTAACAATTTTAATTCCTCAAAATCTGGAAAATCAAACTTTTAAGGGCAGCTGATATATTACAGTACATGCGTGAACAATTTCCATTTCTGCCATTTTTACAAGCATCTCTCCCCCCCCCCCCCCCAAAAAAACACCCTAAAATTATCATGTTTCTCACACTCTGGATGCTTACAGACTTTCCGTCCCTTTGCGTCAACTTTCAACTTGCCTGAAGTTGAACACATGGCCCCTGAGTTTTGCAACCTGACTGCAGGTGTGTAATGGAAACCCAATTACGCAATTAAGCATTCCCAATTGCACCCTTGAAAGCTAATAACTCTTAAATCACAGAAATGCCTTGTTACCCATCCAGTCTTAATACACATATTTTTTTCTCGCATGTTGATGTTCCATCTCATAAAATTAGCGATCAATCACGACATACTGTGTGAGACATTGTGTGAAAACTGTGTGCATTATCAGGAAATTACTGCCAGTAACATTTGGCATGTTTCATCAACTTTTTGACAAAGTCCAGCTGGAGGGAAAACTGAGACTCTGAGCTTTCAGGAATTTACTGGAAACGCTGATGCGAAATGATTTTTGCTTTTTATTTCTTGTCTTGAGTGTTACTGGATTTTATTTCTGGAGGGAGGTTTGTTTGTGTTCGGAGGAGAGTAATCAATCAAATATCTGCGTACTACCCACAAAGGGGTCGAGTGATTTGAATCACAACTACGCGGACGGTTGTCCCCAATCTGACCCATTTTCATAAATGCGTACATCACGTACTCGAACAGTTTTTTTCCTTCTTTTTACACTTTCACAATTACATTTGTGATATTTTTCAAACCTCACACGCAGGACCATTGTTGGTTCCAAGTTCAACAAAATGTCCTCACCAAAAATAATTGTAAGCATTAAGCTTCATGTTCGTGTACACTTGATAACACCTGCAATTAGAATTTCTGCGTCTTTTGCAAATTCTTATTTAGTTCATAAGATTTGCTGATTATTAAAGCACTTGCAGATCTTGCCATGGTGTGTACTGTAGCGGGTCCTAGCTCTATGGTACATAGCACAACTGTACAGTGGAGGCCTAGTTATGAATGTGCTTTAGTGTTGTCAAATTGGCTGGCTCGAAACACGGCCAGTAGTTCATGGAGGTTTCATTGTGTCCTCCGGGCACCGAACCCACCGCTAATCCTCCCCCTCTTAACCTCTGCTCACCACCCCGGTGTGTATTTGTCATCAGAAAGACATTAACCAAAAAAAATCTCCTATGGCCTTGCTCTGCATGGGGATAAAGCAGCCAGGATGAAAAGAAGACATTTCAAGAGTTGGGTGTTTATCAGGGACTGTATACTGGTAGCTTGTTATTGCACAGCTCGGATCACAGCAACCACTGTGAATTGGGATGGATCTGGACTAGAGTACAGACCCTGAGTTTAAGGGCTTGACGAAGGATCATCTCTTTGAAGCCATGGTTTTGAGCACAGAGCATGTTTCCTTGCTCTACGACTTGAGGGTGAAACAGGTGTGCCTTTGGGTGCTTGCGACATTTTTTTTTTCAACCTTCATTTGAAAAACTCCATTGAAGTCATTTGAAAAACTACGTATCAAATTCTCAGTTATTTTGACACTTGTTTACATGCATTAGCAAATATTCAGGTATGTTTGTCACAAGCACTCTGATGCTGAGATGCTACATACCGGTACTGTATGGCCGACACCGAACATTTGACCACAAAATTGTTCTAACTACCAGTACAACAACATCCATGTACTGTACATGTACATGTACTGACATTGCTCCATCAAATGTACAGTTGTAGTGGGGATGAAATTCCCGAAAAAAATGTTTGACTTTCCCAGCTTTTAATGATCAATCGTTCCCAGTTTCATAAGGAAGTGTTTATCACAAAGTTTATCAATATATGGAATTACAATCCATGGCAATCTCTCACCGTTTTTCAGCGAAATACGGTTCATGCATAGCACTGTAGGTTTTTGAGAGGTCAATGCTCCATGCTGTCATTTTGGGGTATCCAGATGTGACGGGGTTCGGCAGGATGGGAACAATCAGTTCAACAAGTTACTCTTGAATTCCTTCTCACTGAGTTTTCAGACCCTCCCCGAAAAATATCTCTTGCACCGTTGAAGATCGTCTTTCACCAATGACCACTATCAATTAGAAGTTTTTGTTAGTTGCTTGTCATCAATGCGGTTATATATACCCTTGTGTTGTATAAACATGGCCAAGTCTGTCAAGAAAGATCTCTCTCAAGGAAGAAACAAGACCGAAACAAGTGTTCAAAGAAAAGTGGTAAGCGAATCCCCTCAGCGGATTAAGAAATGCGGGGAAACTGCGGACATGAAGGCCAGGACAACAAATGCACAGTGTGTACCAAACAACAACAAGAGGATGCTGAAAAACAAAATGCAGAATGCTAACGGCCGAAAAGTCATCGACCCTGAACTCTCCAGACCGCATGACCTAGGAGTGCGTAG